AACAAAAAAAAATGATTTTAACGTTTTTAAAATTATGCTTATTTTATTATCAAACAAATCATTGTTTTGTAAATAATTCCAACGATTTTATATTGAAAATCGACGGAATTATTTGAATACTGATTTAAATACTGCAAAGCATTGTCCTTGGACTCGAGGTTGTCTAGACCTTGACAGCTTGCTTTGTAACACGCTAGAATTGCATTATGAAACGTTTCATTTTTATCTAAGCAAGAATATTAAATATGTAATGTGTCCCTGAGAAAATTTAATAAACGTGTTTCAAGCAAATGTTACTCTTCAAATTATCTTTGCAACGTTCTAAATATTCTCGTTCGATTAAACTTATATGACAAACAAAAACAAATGGATACTTGGGTAGACCCAAGCAGATTTTATTTTTATTTATAAAACCATCTTGGTTTGAGTAATCGTACTCGTAAGTCCTTTTATTTTATTTAAGTAATGTTTTGAAATTACATTAAGGAAATCCTAATGATTTAGTAATCAATGTTCATTATCATTAGCTAATACGTATTAAGCTGAAGAGATAACGAGGCAAAATTACAAAGCCTCTTCTTAATACGATTGAAAGAGACATAAGATGGATTTACGTGAGAAATAAGTATTTGAAATTAATGTCATGAAAATACCACGATTATTCAATCGCTTAACAACAAAGTGACTAATGCAGGAAAAATGTGTAGTCAATGCACAAAATTAAATATTGTGTAATAACCTATTAACACCGGAGAATAAAATACTCGGTCAAGTGAGAGTCGGACTCGTGCACGAAGGGTTCCGTACCGAGAATAAACAAAAACATGTCACGTTTGTTGTATAGGAGCCCACTCCAATATTTACATACCTTATCTGTGAAAATTTCAACTGGCTAACTATCAAGTTTCATGAGATACGGCCAGGTAACAGCAAAAAATACGATTATTGTATGGGAGCCCCTTAAATTATTAAGGGTTAAAGTATGAAATTGCCGTTTCTAATAGGATCCTTGAATTGACATAAAAACTTCATGGTTTCAGGTTTTCGAAAGAAACTTTTTTCACATGGTTGCTATGATGTTCTTATTTAAAAAAAATGTGAATCATTTGAATATCGATTTGCAATTGTTTTTGTTATTCAACTTAGACAAGAAAGAAGGATACTGTGAAAATTCGAGTGATTTTTGATACGCGCTCCGAAGCGGAAGTAACGCGGCAGAAACAACCCGCAATATCAATATTGCGTTTGGAGAGGGGTCTGCTAATGAACGCACCGTACGATTTTGGTTTAAACGCTTTCGGAAACTTCGACTTGAAGAACGAGCCACGAAGACCACCCACACAGGTTAATAACGATGAATTAAGAGAGATGGTGGAAACCGGTGTAGGTAAAGTATACAATACGAATATATTATACATTACAAACGACTAACCATTTAAGGAATCAGCTTGCTTCATAATGTAGTTGCGCAATTTTATTTTTAAAGTATACTGGCTGGTAGACATTCTAAGATCTAAGATCTAAAGGAAAGGGAGTTTATCTAAAAATTATATATTCTTAACAAAGAAAGATGAATGAATGACACCAGAGTTATGAGAGCAAACGATTAGAAGAGAAATACATAAAAATAAAACGTACATTTGTAATTTATTCGTTTGTTTTAATCCCAAATTAGTAATAAATTTAACTGTAAATTTGGTAATGAGAAAACTACCTACACCGTAATAAGTTTTATGGTACATATTAATTAGGTTATTATGTGAATTTATTAAATTTTTCAAGAAGACACTTCACAACATCTATAAAATTTATCATTTATTAAATTTCTTCTCGTAATTATGCTCTTAGGGAAATTGTTACATTAATTCCAGCGAGTAATTAATTAAAAATACTTATGACGTCTTTAATGAAATATGCTTAAAAATTGATGTAACCATTGGGTTGCTCAATGGTTAGAGCAGTCACCCGAAATGTGAAAGGTTGTGAGTTCAAACCCCAAGTCTGAGGCTGGTAAATATTTAAGCATTTTTCTTTAAAGATTTTGTCAGTATGCAAAATTGATCCATAAAAAGTTTTTAACGCTTTTTATTTCGCTTTATTTCAACTGGCGTATGAAATTGTTCCTTAATACCTCATTGATTGAACCGTTAACTTTTTATCGTTTTTACTTTAATTCCCAATCTTAATATCCTACCTATCAAAAGAGTTAAAGGTTATACAGTAAAAACATAAGGTAGACATCACTGTTCTTAACAATGTTTTAAGTGACATCTCTAATGTTAATTTCGTGTCAGTAAAAAAAAATAAAAAAGATTGAAAGTCGTGGCTTTAGGATTGATAAATTTGAAATCTTTTTTCAACCTTTACCTTTATCTTTTCCATAAAGTCTATTACGTGTGTGTAAAAAATAAATGCCTATTGAATCCTTAAATAAAAAACTTTAACTTAAAAACATTTCATTTATTAAGCTTTAAGAATCATTAATAAAGTTTACAAAGTAAAGTGTTTTTTTTTCCACCATTACTTACGTCAAAATTTAAAATAAGAACAAAAGGTTAAATTAAAACTATAAATTAACCACGGAGGTCGCATATGCCGCCGTCCTGATCATCTACGTTCTTAGATGATAGACAACTACTTTTGTGTGATGCCAAAACAAAATAAAATAACCTACTTTAATAATAGAGTCATAGTTAAAATAATATTCCTTGAAATCCGAGAGAAGTTGTTACCTCTTTTATAACTGAGAGATAATAAAATTGTGTGTGTAATTGTAATGGCTTATTCATCATTGACACTATACGGGGTAGCGATGATTTCAATTCTGCGCCTTCATTAGTCACCCGTAGTGCTAAGCCCGTCGGCCAGTACAAGATAATAATTTTGCTGTTACTATTTGGAACATCAATAATTTCGTCAGGGATGCGACCAACTACATCACTAGCCATGAATCTGGCCATAGGATACGACATCTTAGCGCTGTTATGGCGATATTTCATTTCATTACACTGCTTCGACATATGTACAATGATTATTATGAATTTGACAGCAGTGTTACTAACTTAGTCGTTACCCATAGTAAATGTCAAACAAAAATGTAAAATGAAAAGACATATCGCCATAATATAGCTATGATGTAATATTCTATAGCTAGAGAGTTAGGTTAGGTGTGGTTAGATTACCCGAGATTGACTATTGGAATATTTAACACTGTGAAAATGAAATGGATTTTATTTTCTTTTAAATAGCATATTCTTGTTATTATAGCCACCCTATAATTTATTGGAAGTGTAAATAAGATTTTCATATTATATTCCATATCAGACCTGTTGCTGTTAGACTATGATAAACGAGAACACTGCTTGACATCGTAATATATTCACATACTGTTTACCTTGTTAAATAAATAAGATCTCTATAAAAAATGAAGTCTGCATAAAAGTATTAATAAGTGTTTGTGAACCAAAGTGAGCTAAATAAATGTTATGCAAATTTTTTGATTGTATGTAATCTAGTACGATAAAAACGTTTCGAATTACAATTTAATTTGTGTCATTCTTTCAGTGTCAGTAAATTTATAAGACACTCGTGATTGAGAGCTGGTGAAGTTATCATTTATATCATAAAAGTAAAGGATCTTCGTCTAATTGTATTGTCCAAGAAAAATATAACATTTTAAAATCGATGTCAATTAACGACATTCCATTGGCTGCCTTATTTCATTCAACAACTTTATTGTTTTTTTTAGGATTACTCAAGTATAATAGGTTTTTTTTTTTATTTTCTTTGTCTTGGTAATTCATGTCTTTACTAATTTGTTAGTTGTAAACTTTCTAACTTTCGTAGTTTGTATAGGGTAATGTTAGGTAAAACTTCCGATCATGAAAATTCTTATATATACTTACCTATACACGGTTAATATAAACTACAATGGATGTGGGCAAAGTCGCAAGAAAACAGCTAGTTTTAGATAACACTAATCATTTAATTTAGTTTAATTGGCGCAGCAATTCAATAAATTTTCGTTGAATAATTATTATTAAAAAACAATTCTTGATCGTAGTCCAAAGAATCAAGTGACCATGGACTCTATAGGTAGTAGTACAAACTAAAGGTAGTATTTCCGTATTATTATGATGTTTAAATTAAAATATATGTATGTTCCCGCGTTAGAATAATTTAAATAAATTTGGTATGTATGTTATTCAAAATTGTTAGAATTTTCTAAAAAATAAGCAAATATTCTGTATAAGTATTGATCTGATCTTTTTGCTAATGAAATATTTGTGACTATTTAGACAGATAAGAAATCGTGTTTGTCCAAAGTTAACAGTTAAATTTTCAATAAGATTTATGGAAAATAAAGTATACTTGTTCGACCAACAATAAAACAGTGATGTATTTGTTATTTAAGATTTTCATAACAAGAGTTTGTATCGACTTCTTTGGCCTAATCTCATCGTACTAAGTAAATATGTTTAAATGCAATATATTTATCAAGTACCTTATACTCGTATGTAGTAAATTAGAGTTGCGTTATTTTAAGACTATGTTTTGAGAAATGATCTCTAAAATCTGATAATGTAACTCAGAGATAGCGATAGCATATATTGAGAGACAGGTAGACCAAGCTTCATTTTTTATACTTTGTCTAAGTTATTATTTTAATATTGTAATGAAATTATGAAACTTATTATTACAAAAAGATATAGAAATTCTTTTAAGCAATCTTTTTTATTATGTTATCGTAATTTAGAAAGCGCTACATTCCGCCGTGTATGATAACTATTAGATACATAATGCTAATTATTCCTATCAGTGCGTAGTCGTACTACGGGGTCATACAAGTTGCATAAGTGGGTGCATCTGCTTGACATTTGAATCGACCCCGAATCCGAATAGAAACTGTGTCACGAATTAACAGCGAGCGGGTACCGGCGGGGACGAGGTGCGTTGTGCAATCCCGTTAGTGCTCCACGTGCGAACCGAGGCGCGCCTCAATGTCGCCCGTGGGCGGCCACCCGCCCGCCCGCCCGCGCTCCTCGACTGCTCTACCTACCGACCAAAGTCGACAGTGCGCGATCCTCTCTATACCCCATCCCGCTCGCTATCGTTCAACAACCAGCACTCCCACTCCTTCTCGCGAACAGCTGAGTATCAAAACAAAGAAGCGAGACGCCCGGTCACCGCTCTCGCTCGCCGCGCCGGCCGGCCGGTGTCGGCGGCCGCGACTCGCGCCGCACGCACGCCAGTTCTCATCCGAACCGCGTCTATTGAGGTCGTTCGCTGTGAGCTCACGTGCGAAGTTAACTATCGCGAAAGGATTCTCCTTTGTTCCTATCGAGGACCCGCCCTCGTATTATGTTTCCGCGCCAGATCCGCGACCAGCCCCGGCCCATCAAAGAGCCGGAAGTGCAGCGCGAATCGCGTCGAAATTGCCGCTTTCTGAAATTCTGCGACGGCTACCCCGCGAAACGCGTACGCCGGGCGATTTGAAGCCGTCGAGTGATCTCGTGTGTCAAACGACAGTGGTGACTTGTGTAAAGTGGACTGAAGTAACGATGTCTACGGGGAAAAGGTTAGCGAAGCGGTCCATTATAGGGACACGCGTCGCGGCATTGGGGGAGGACGGACTATACTACTCTGGAATGATTCAGGCTGTGAAGACGCCGGCGCCGTTCCCGGAGAACAACAATTGTATTAATCTAACACCGAACACTCGGTACACAGTGCGCTTTGATGGTGGAAAGATAACGAGGGAGTACCGAGACGCGGAGTTGATCGGTCCAGGATTCCGCGGGATGACGGGCGTGCGTCTACAGCCAGGCCAGCGCGTCTACCTTACGTACAATGGACGCGAAGTGCGCGCCGACGTGCAGACCCACGACCATATCTCCGACGAGTTGCGCGTGCTTGTACACGCTCCTGGTGCCGAGGTCAGTACACACCCCTATACTTTCCATGCTACGACAGATAACGCTCTACGATGTAGAGCCTCCGTAGCACAACTTATATTAAGTTATTTTACTTATATTAGCTTTCACCAGCGGCTTCGGCCGCGTGGTTTCTATGGAAATTATTAGTGGGATAAAAAGAATCCTATTATCTAAGTCACCTTTCATCAAAATCCATTCAGTAGTTTCGGCGTGATTGACGGACAAACATCCAAACAAAGAAACTTTCACATTTATAATATTAGAAGGATTAGCATTTAATGACTGAAAGTAATCACAATGGGAAAAATCTTAGCCAAAAATAGTTTACTCTCAAAGGTTTTATGATAGTGCAGTAAAAATATGTGAAAACCCACATGCATTGGGAAAATATGAGGATATTGTTTATGGTAACCGGTCTGTGATTCATAACGGACAATTATTTGATGACGTAAATATTTTTCATACAAATCAGTATTTCCCATAAAATGCAGCATAAAATTAAGTTAAACAACATTTCTCAGATTTAATAAACGCAATAAATTAAAAATTGCAATTGCGTCCTAAGAAAAGACATCAACGATATGCAGCTTACTTAAGACAAGAAATGGACATAAAAATTGTATTTAATATTATTTTATGTAACAAAATTAGAATTTATTTACTAAATTGAACATCAGACTATTATATATTATGTGGATTAATATAATCCGTAATAATCACTTTCTTCGTATGGCAAAATCAGCGATTGTCACTAGAACAAGTGTGAGTCAATGTCCATTTGTTATGTGTGTAGTATATTTAACCTGGTTTGTATAAACTGCTGCGCCGACTACACCGGCAACTAAGTATCACACAAAGACGTGCGCAGGAGCGTGGACAAAGCGAGCTGCTATTGACCCTTCTCCACGTGTGATCATCCCCCCGCACACCTCATGACGCATGCATCTGAGCAACTTATCGACATTACTAATCCCGCTACCGTGTTACATTTTTGTTTTTTTTTCTTAACGTTCCAATTTCAAATCTACCACAGACAATTTATTTTTTTATTAATTGTGACTGAACTCTTTGCAGTCATAAGATTGAGTAATTCATGATAAAATTCGATTTATCTATGCAACTGTTTTTAATATTTACAGTGCACTTTACAGATAGACTTTACATTGTTGTTGCAATTGCGTTGCATTTATTTTATCATATCGTACAGTTGCGATATAGTTAACTAACTTGTTATAAAAATACAATCAGTTATTTTTATACAAAAAAAAATATTGTTAATTCTGTACCTATTAATTAATAAGAAATTTAAATGAAACAGCAGGTGTAAATTAATACTTGCTATCGTGATGAGTTAATTAATTAATCATAAATAATTTTGATTTATTAAAAAAAAAAGAATTTATACAAGTAGTAGTAGTTATACAAGTAAATTAAAAGACAAACTGGGAGTCCATTAATTATTATTTTTTAGTGTTAAATATATATTACCACTGAAATTTGGAAAAAATGATGAATGATAAATTTGATAAAGGAATAAACGTCAATAAATTGCTATCAACAGTTTATGCTCAAGGGTAACGTTATCTTCTATATATTTTATCAGATACAATACTACATACATATACATTAACTCGTATCAACTAATATTGTAGTTAATTTATGCACTTTTAAAAATGATAACACACAATAGCTACCTATGAACTTCCGCTACGCAATAATAATTATGAACAAAGCCATCTAGTTTACTCTGATAAATGTCGAAAATTATGTCATGTATCATTTAATAACTCATCATAAAATGATGAAGTTAGAATTGTTAATAATATAATTATTCCAAATAATTGTTTGTTTCATTCTTAACACTTATAAAATATTGCATTTCATTATCGAACTCAGAATTTTAAAGCATAATGAAATACATAACGTGTATGCTACACGTCATGTCTTTGTATGAACAAAAATACCCATTTTGGCAGTCTTCTAATGGGCAGTATGTGCTGAATTCTTAAATTAGGCCGTACCGTTACAAACGTTGGCCGCAATAACAGGTAGTCGGTGTTACGCTAATCGTCAGTCGACTTAGTTTCGAGTTCCTTCGCAGACAAAAGATTTTATTTAATTTTTAACACTTTGAACGTTTCAGATAATTCAGAATTTCAACGTTTAGGCATTTAAAATGGAATTTCCAATTATATAATTCTAATTCAAGACTGAAAACAACGATTACAACTATATTGTCTTGCTATTTCAGAATGGTAATTACACTTAAGAAAGATAATACAAGAAAAATAATTGCCCATAATGTAGCAATCGGATCTGTTTTATTGCGTTAACATTTATTCAAATTAATTGGAAATAAAGATGCTATTTTATTTGTGTTGTGCGTATAACGATGCCGGCCGTTGTGTCGTAACCGCGCATGCGTCACTACATTTTATCGCCCCTGATATTGGACGACAATTAGTAAAACAATTCTCGTATAATAAATCTTGACAATTAAATTGTGACCTGGCAATACGCCTGGCAACTATCTCGTCAGGGTCATCAGCATTCGACTTCTTTAGCCGAACGCATTACATTAAGTTGATTTTAATGATAATAGCCATATAAAGCAACTTGTCCGCTAATTATCAAAGTGCAACACTGAAATCACATATAAAAGCATTACTTCTTAAAAGAGGATCCTTATGAGGAAAGTCCAAGATTATATTGATGCAATTAAAGTTGTCTGTGAAATAAATCAACAAAAAAGTGTTCACGCTAAATTGTTTTGATTATAAAGATACACAAAATGGCGCAGTAGTGTTACTATGACACAATAAGGAAGCCGGCCGGCGAGGCGCGTGGCGTGAGCGCAGCACGACTCTGCGTAAATAGTGACGTCGCACGCGATGTAGAATAGTTAACATGACGCTATGCGTGCAATACAACGTCCAATCGTAAAATAAAATGCACGAATAATTAACTAATACGCTTTCATAAGCGAAATGCGACTCTCTAACACTTTTAGTTTTTAATCAACAAGGTTATATGTTCAATTTCGCGACGCTTTATTGTTCAGTTTATTGATAAGATCAATTATCGATTATAACTATGTAGCAAGATGTTTTGTTTATATCGCTAGATCATAGTGGAGTAATAAATTAATAGCAACGCATGTTTATGTCGACAGTCAGTAGGCATGCTTGCGTCACGCTGAGATAGAACGGCGCACATATCAAAACATACTTAACGATAACAAAACAAACAAGCACATGACAAAACAAATGCGCACTATTTTCTTTTCATAATAAAAGGAAATAACATGGCCGACATGATCTAAGTTCAACAAAGGGAACTCCCGACATAAATTGGACATAATGGAAATTACAAATCGTCGTTATCAAATTGGCAGTGACGCAGTGTTTTTCAGCGAACGTACGCTGCTAAGCAACTCTAGCGCATTATGGTGGGGAGTCAGAACACAGAAGTCCGTGTACACGGACGTTGGTAAGTCCACTCGACACGTTACGAGGAATCAACACTATCAAACATGTTTTATGAGTCACGCCGGCCGGCCGGCGCATTGGTCTTCGTAAACAACGGCACTACGCACTGAAAACAAATATATCAACAGCGTTACGTAATACACTAAAAAAACTATGCTCTATAACGAAGATTAATGAATAACAGGTTAGCTCTTCAGCAATCTAAATCAGAAGCGATGATTAAGATTGAGCGCGGCCTACATTCACTTCACGGACAGGACACAGCGTTCCGTTCACTTTAAATAGCACTCGAAATATAAATGGTAAGCGAGTCAGCAGCCATATAATGTGTCAGGCAATAAGATATAAAAATAAAGAGTGCGCGGCCGAGAAATAAGGTCAGCGACAGGCCCGGAACCGAGTAACGGTATTGGTTACAAAATCGCGTCAAGAATTATTTTCACGTGCGCGCCGGCGCCGGTCTCGAGGACCGTTACCCGCGATGGCTAACATCAGCTAACCACCGGCCTGCTACTAAGTGGAACAAGAAGCCGCTAATGCCGCATCGCAAATGATAGCGGAAAAAATAAACGAAATCGTCTTATTGTTATCAAACGAGGTCAGATTACGCAGAGTTATAAGTACAAGAAAACTGTAATAGTTACGTGAATTAGTTTTATTGCGATTTCCCTTCGTTGTCGGTTATGCATTCCGTTTATGGTGATCGTTGGGAAGGCGCACGATTCGCCGCACTACTAATGGTGTGACCGTAACGACGGCGAGTGTGAAAGTACCATCGTCGAGTCACACCTGTGCTAACCGTACACAGCTTCAGATTCACTCATATTTAATACAACACAAACATTGTAACACCTGAACAATGTCGTTACGAATAATGAAAGTGATTGTCTACTTTTTTAAGACTAGAAAACAAATTTACGTACTTATACCACGCATGTACTGAATGGCCAATATTTTTCGCATCATTAGAACTCTTCATATAAACAAACGCCAATTTGAGAAATTTTGTGATGCATTTAATAAGTTTAATAAATAACACATGAAATTGAAACATAATTCATTGGTTTTCTCCACTACGTACGTTGACTATACATTGTCTTTGCGGGTAATCTCGACAACAGGGTATAATTAACTACGTATTACTTGAATAGCACGCGAAAGCAGTTACGACTAGTAAGTAAATTATAGATGAGTTTTGCAGAATTTCCAGTTGAGTTACAATGTTTTTTTTTTTATAATAGAGCGAAAGACACTTGCACTCACTCATGGCGGTTAGCCTTGCGTAGAAGATCGCGTGCAAATTGTACAATAAATTTCACTTGTATACTTATTACACTATAACGAAAAAGTGATTTCTAATAAATACAAATATAGAAACACTGCGTAGGTAGAGGGAAGCAACCAAATATGAGCTATTATACTTAACAAGAAATACTGATTGATGGAATATAAATTTCTCAATTATTCTTTAGAGAAAAAAATTATAAACTTTGAAATAAGCCAAGCAATGTGTGTGCAGCTGCACAAAGTTATAAATTTTTACCAATATAAACAATTTATGAAGGTATTTCTATATTATCTTTAATTTGGTTACTTTCTTAATTCACGTAAGTTCCAAAACAAATTATTCACGCTTGAATTTTAAAGACGACAGACAATGCAAACTTAATGATCCAAAACAACTTGTCAAATTTCTCTTTCCCCTAAAACCTTATCTGGATTTTTATGAATGATTTAATAACCAAATAGTCCAAGCGCAAAATGGTCCATCCTCGAATTAGTGTCGTCCGCTTAGCAACTGACAGCATTATGTTTTTCTTTATAATTATACCTACATTGATTCGTATTCACTCCGATATAGTTATGTAGACTCAATCACTGATTCGTTATTCAATCGATTGCTAATTTTAGCATCTTGAATCTCTAAAAAGTTTCTAAACATTAGAACAACAGACTATTTATAAAATGACACGACACACTTGTTTTGCACTGGTATTATTAGTAATCGTTATGCGCGATGGTGTGGCGACAGATTCACACCAAATTGCAAGTTTCTCCTTCGACAATTTACTGCTATAAACGAGACTATTTTACGTAAGTGTGTTATAACTAACGGTGTTAGTGAGCGAGCATCGGCCATTGAAGAAAAATATGGGAAGAGAAACCACCAGCTAAACCGCACGCACACACACAAAGAAAAAGATCATTTTTATTTAAAAAATCATAACACTGTTAAATAAAAGTAAATATTGGTCGAAAACTGTAATTCTTAAATCTTTATTATCCTTTCGTTATCTAACTATAGCTTGTTATAACGGTTGCGTGGCTGAAAGATCGATAAGCGATAACGCCAATGTAAAATAATTATTTCAGTATATGAATCAATTCACAATTATAGTGCCCATTAACACATAATTTCCACAGATGACACAAAATTTTGATAAAGCGTACCTGTATATATATAAGAGAGTTGTTTTCTAATTATTATTTTTTTTAGTTAATGTAATAAGAGGCTAAGAAAATAACGATGAACGTTATTAATAAACAATTATAATGGAACACAATACCAGTAACTAATTAACAACTAATATAAAAAACGTAGATAAGAATAATTTACTTAGACTAATAAAAAAACTTGATTGCGGCCACACCTAGCAACAAAACTTAGTGCAAAACAACTAAGTAAACCTATATAATTTTAATGTCAAACCAATAGTACACTCTTAAAGCAAACTAGTATTTAAATAAATCGTAGATACAAATAACACTAAAGTAGAGTCGATAAAATCAAACTAAATAACTAGAGATATGTTGTATAATCAACCCATTATGTAATCTAAGAACCAACCATAATATTAAAATATAAATTGAGAATGTTTACCAATATTTAAAATTACCTAGGTAGGTCATTTTAACTGTTAATCAATTTTGACTATATACCTACACTTAGGTATATTGTCTTTAAAATTAATTTTTAATTTAAATATTCCTTTCTCTTCCCTAGAGGAGAAAAAACTAGTGTCTCATAATATCATGCTTCTTTTTTAGGACCTTAAGTTTCTTATAATATCGACGGAATAAAAATATTAACGAGAAATTAGTAATTTCCATCAGGTACAACTAGGACGAAATTAATTAATTAGAAAAAAACGATATCTATTGTTTTAAATTACGAAACAATTTACGTTTCAGCCGAAATTTTATGTCAATTTTTTTACGACAATGACATTCAACAAAGATCTTGATTTCTTGAGTAAGGTTAGTTTCAATACCTAGTTACTAAACAGTTTGAATCTACAAGACCTTGATAATTATTTTCGTAGAAAACATAGAAGTGGCGATGGTCCACCCACAAGCGCAGTAGCGAAGGCAAGGTCAGCCCTCAATGGGTGACCTCATTGCTCTCGCCTTGGAATAGTTACACGATCTATACCTATGTACTCCCTTATCTGTGCAACTGCTAGAACAAAGTGAATCTTATTATTTTATAAACTGGATTAAATTACAAGGGATCGGTATATGTTATACCAATTTTTGCTGGTCAACATTTATTTAGATATATTTTCTTTTAGTATGCCAGCTTGTTGGTAACCGAATAATTTGTTTTGAGCATTAAGCGTTACGCACGGCGACGCGAACTGACTCAGCGAGCAAAATTACTCGTTTTCGGGCTCGAACTAACAGTAACACACCACAACCGTTACCATGTGGGCGGCTGTCACAAATTACAACGGTTACGACAGCGCTTCATCCTTCCTATTCAATCTAGACGACTATTAATGTATAACATGAAGAATCGACTATCTGAAACAATGGTTTACGTGTTACACTTTGAAGGTTAGCCGGCAGTACGCGATGGCCGTGGATATTAATGCTAATTTCGATAGGGTCAAGAAGACGTTTAGCGATCGCGGCGCGACACGGATCGAATGTTCATTGAATAGCACGCGATGCTTTCTGTCTCTAGATGTGTTTTTATGTAAGTGAAGAATGTAATTGCAGCGCGGGGCGCGGGCCGCGCCGGCCCGGTGACCCACTGACCCAGAATCGCTGATATTGAACCAACGACGCACACGGCCCGTATTCGAAACACGACCTCCACTTGCGTTTTCCTCGTAGTCTAAATTTGTTAAACAATCTACAATTGACTAATAAGGCCATAATCGATTTAGGAAGCATCAATATTTCGATCATTTTTTTAAGTTCATACAAAATTCCTAGCTCTCACAAAATTGTAGTCTCTATGTAAATATTTCACGTAGTAGTAAAGAATGTAATCATAGGATTGCGTCTTCAGGTCAAGTGGGTAACGGTGCTATTGGCGATACGTGTGCTGCACCTAAGACGCGAACAGGTTCCACCCGTTATCAACCGCGGCTCAGGGCGCGGTGGGTCGCTCTCTGTTTTTGGGTCAGACTGGGTCACGACGCCTGCGTGCTCGCCACTCGCCCCCTCGAATATATACGCTGCTATTTCGATATCCAAGAATAGAGAGGCGACTACACTTACAAATACCTCAAGGTGAAACGCTCACTTTTCTAAGCGTCGCACGTAAACGATGCGATTATGGCATCGCGGTTGTTTAGTGTCGAAATACGAGGCTCGCGTCCTTGTGCAGATTTCACGTTCAGTTACGTAAGACGTACGCCCTAGTGTGCGATTTTATTTACATTGCACCGCGGTACATGCCGCCCACTTTACATGGTGGGAGCGCCGCCCGCCGGCCAGCCGGACGAACGGGCCGTAGCTTCATACCCGTGACGTCATCTCGTCGCGTCGCGCCTACGCGAAGAGCTCACGCCGACGCACTATGACGTCGTTTCGAGAAACATTTCATTAAACTCTTCGTGACGTCAGCGGATGATTAAAACCTACAAACACCCACTATCAGAATCGCCTATCCGAACCATAAGATAAAAACAACGCTACACTGACGCCTTGCATCATTGGCAGCGCTACGCAATATCAGCTTCCTGACGAGCTGACGTTGACCTACTTATTCGATTGGATTTATTGTACTTTGAAATTCTTAGTTGCAACACCTAACGGGTCATTATCATATGAATCGAATCAGGACGACTTGTACACACTTTGATCAGTATCTATAATTTACTACTAGCAATCATAACGTAGAGTTTCTTTCTTTGTCATTTACATTTCAAAAATTAAAAACTTTGATGTACGAGAGATGAATTTTCTACGAAGACAATGCAGATTAAATAGAACGAAGGGTTACATAAATAATATTCAAAAATAGAACAGCGAGGTTAGTCAGATCGCGCATTCAGGGCGCCGCGCCGGCCGGCCGGCCGGCCGGCTAGGACACGACCCACGACCGCGCCAACTAGGCCGCCTGTTCGTCCTGTGCAATCGATGACGCTGACCTAATGGACCAATTCTATGCTCTCCGATTCATTGTAGTAAAATTTAACGCAACAATAAAATTATTTTACTAACGCAACGTCACGTTATTTATCATATTTAGAAACACTTGTCGTAAGAGCTCGCTTTTGGTAAATGAGGTAGTAAACGAATGAAACGGTTGTTTCAAGGAGAATGGCCGCAATAAAAACGTTGGCTGCATTTTGACGTTTGAAATGTGGGTCATGGATTTTTGGGGCAAGGTTGGCGTTTGCAGTGTTCGATGTCGATGCCGGCGCTTCGTGGCCTGCTTCCACCGCATCCGCTCTGCAAACCGCCGGTTGGTATTCGCTGATCGCACAAGGCCGTCGTGCCGATTGGTTGATCAGCCTAACCGTATTAGATTCGAATAACTTTTCGCTAACCATAACTGCTTAACAGGCTGTATAAATGAAATCGCTAATAGCAAATTGCTCGCGTTAACTTATTATAATAAGTTGACTTGCAGATTTTGTCTTGATTATTATGCGCTACATTGTTACTTTCTGAACTGTAAAATTTGCATACTCTTCCTAAACTAGATGTTGTCGAGTTTTAGTTAAGGTTGGCATTTTTTCCCACAAGAATGTACGTGTCGTGAAGGTTGGATAATAATAAATTGCTGCGTTAAAGGTTAGATCCTCCATTCTACCGTGTTACGACACCCACGTAACCATAAAATAGAACTTTGTTAAGTGCCAATAATTCTATCGTAGCAATCCCAACTCGTGATTAAATCTACATCCGAAAAGAAATTACACGTCTATTATTTACTTTAATTTGTTGGATTCATAACAGGTACGTTTAACCTATCAATGTGCATATATCATTATTAGTGTGTTCCAATCTATCTAAACAGAAAGTTATGCAAATGAAACTGGCGCAAATTATGTAATCTGCTATATATTACAAGAGGTACCACTGTCGCCATCCTTAGATTTAATAAATTTTCTTATTCTTGTTACTCTTTTACCATAGATTCGATTACACCTCTGTCATCTACACGAATAACTTGTTTTATGTACATCAAGTAAAAGAACCTTAAATCGAAGTGTTATCAGCCTATCATATTTAATGAGTTTTATTTTATGACGTATAAAACTGGTAGAATCTTATCGACGACGACGATGGCTTAGCTATTGACCTATTTACGAAGCACGATCGTCACTCGACAACCTATTGCTTATGCATGCGTGTCTACGTGACTGTCACTGCAGCCTCTGAATGCCTAATAACGAAATAATCGTTGGCCATCTATCATGGACGGTTTTCGTTCTGTATTCTTATTTGAGGCCTCACCGAACTATATTTGGGATCGACAGTGAAGCGGGACTCATAAATTTACTGCCGTTTTAATAAACATTACTCGGAAAGGACTACCCAATAAGATTTCGACACCGTTCGCAATCCGGACTGCTCGTTCGAATGAGGTTTTATTCAAAGTTATATAAATATATAACGAAAAACAGCAAAAAACTATACCGTTAGGGATTCGTCGTGAAGTTAGAAATAGAAAGACAGATAAACAAGAAATATAATGTTTAAAATATATTAAAAGTTTATTTCAAAATAACTCGGAAAACGTAAGGTGATTATGATATTGAAAAGTCGATAAGACTTTGTGTCATATTAAACATATTACTATCTATTCAACAAATCTCTTCGGACTAAACTTTAGTCATTCAAAATGGTTATGCCATTGAATCATCACGTTGTGTGCATTCAAAGCCGCCGATTTATCGGTCGTCGGCAACCGAAGTAATCTATTGTTTTCACAACCTCACCTCGATGAATTGAGAGTGCATTGTCCTACGTAAGAGTTGTCCTGTATACCCGATAACCGAGCATTGTACCCATTACTATTATTACCATGTTTTAGGGACTGCGTAGTTTCAACAGTAATTACTGCAAACTAAAATAGGTTAACTATAGATATCTGTTGCCACACTGCCATAGCATCTGAAACTGTATATCTCGTGTTGAGTGGCATATAGAAACTCACGATTTTTCCACACTTTTTCCAATAGCGTTGTTGTGAAATTGACAAATTCAAGAAGTTAATATTCTATAATGGTAACATAATGTCCATGCGTAGCATAAGGCACTCGAGAATTTTTGGTCTATACCCAAATAACACTTCTCGAGTGCATCCATACGATATCTCATACTCGAGAGAAAATGACGTTTAGTGTAGACAAAGCTTTTCTCGAGTTTTTCATGCTACACGTGCAGAAGTAGACAAAAGTCGATTGTCGGCTTTTACAGTGAAGAATAAACCTCACTGTCAATCCGTGCTCGGCATATCAATATAACTCGTAAATAAGTGTTGTGTTTCTTCTTATAGCTAGACGATAAGAAGTAGTCTACTAGCCTCTTCGAGTACTAGCCGTCATATTACGCGTGCTGGAAGTCACTAAGGAGTGTGATTAGTCTTAGTTCTATAATAATATTCTTATATTTGAAACAATTTACTTCATAAATGTAATATAATGGACAAATAATGGGTTCATTAAATAAAATATACAATATAGGTCACAAGTACGGCACAACGAATCAATGACAATTATATTTATTTTAAACTTCAAAGATTATAAAGAATGACAGTAATTTAGAGATATATAAAAAATAAATAAAGATAAAAAAAGTCGCCAACAACTGGAGACATTAAATTAACAAAATATATCAGATAATTTCACATGAAACTCCTGCAAAACCACATTTAACAAAAAAAATCTAAATGTTACAGACACGTCATCAGTATATATTTATTAAATCGTGAACCCTACTGCTGCCCTAATTCGGGAACGAGCAAAAAGGTCACAAGTGGAAAATCGTATTTTGGTAGCCATTTTGGATTCGTGAAAAAAAAACGGCGGGGCCGCGTTAAAAAGTTGATTGCTTGAATCACGGCAAAAGTAAGTCGAGCTGAAACCGCTCCCTGCGAGTGTTCATTAAATCCCAAGTCATATTGTTTTATGTTAATAATTGAATTATACTATAATGGTTATGAATTATTACTGAAAAGTATATTAATTCAAACAATTTTTCCAAAGTATTATTATAGGGATATTGTACAATATATCAAAATTCAAATTTATTTTCATTTTTATTTATTCAGTCTGTTCACAAACATATGTCAAAGTTAAAAGCTATGCCACGGGTCCACTGCGGGAGATCTTATACTGAGAAGAACCGACAAAAACTGTTTCTGTATGCAACAGAGAAATTCAAATGAAAAATAACTTAATTAGACTATGAATCCATTTATATTATAATACCAAAAATGACAAAACAGATACTTTTATGGTTAATCGATTAATATGCCGTGTCAATCGTATCATACACTGCCCACTTAGAATCCACCGGCATCTACATACCGACGCGGCATGCCGGTAGGCGTTGCCATTGACACAATAGTCAATGTCAGTCAACTGTTTTAGAGTGCCCGACTTTCACTAACAATTACATTTAATATGCATGACAATATTGCAATCGTGTAGAAAACTCGACACAATCTGTATTAATTCGTAATGCAATTAGTTATAGAAATGCCAATTATTAAACACTCCGCGCTAATGTCATAATAATAGATGAAAATTGAGTTTCTTTCGTATGATTTCGAACGACTCTATTCTTTATTCGAGACACCTACGGAGTCAGATTTCGACATTCGATGTTACGGGCGTGGATAATCCGTTTTGCTTGGATAAAGTGCGCCGCGGCAACATCGATGCGCAGTAGACCGACCAGAGTTTCGTAACTTAGGTGCCGACACCTAGTCCTTGATGATTTATTAACTTACGATCGCTAATACACAACAATACACATTTGCACTTACACCCAGTTGTGCAAACATCCATAGAAATTGTCATTATTTTAAAGCATTACTATCGCTAATACACATTAATACACCTTTGCACTTACAACCAGTTGCACAGAAGGCTATTAAAATTATTTTCAATGCAGTTGCTCATAAAGCACTATTTTTTTATCAATACCGAAAGTGAGTCTTTAAACATGTGTTAAAAAAAATGTACTGAAATCCTTTACTGCACACGTGCTTAAAAGTATTTTTTAAATTTTTTTTGGCCGAGCACCAAAGAAATTAAAAAAAAAAATGATGAAAATATGTCAAACTTTAGAGGCAAAATTATTTCAAGGAGCTTAGAACGAATATTTTCAAATAAAAATGTATGACACGAAAACATTTTCAAATATCACATTTAATTTTAACAAATAATTTTTACCTTTAATACATACTTAGTTTTATTAACCTATATATTTGTTTTATTTCCTCGCAAAAAGCATTGAAAAATATTGTAAGAAACTTGAGCGTAAAAGGTTTTTCGAATTCGTGGCAATTTTACGAACAGATTTTTTATTTGTGTTGTTCACAATGATTTTGATATATAGG